TGCAAACCACCATATATGGAGGAATATAAACTTATCGCCTTAAGGAAGAAAAGGAAAGAACTTTGTCCTGTGGAACCCGTGGAAACGACCATGTCCATAGAAACTGTAAAGACAGTACAAACAGTAACGCTTACGGAGTCTGCAGTAACAGTTCCTTCCTGTGAGCCACAACTGGAAAATACTCAAATCGAGCTCACGGCAGACAAGCGCGTAGAAAAGGAGCCTGATATCCCTGCTTCTTCTCCCAAAAGACTGAAAAAGAAAAGGAAGAAAAGCCATAGCACCGGCAATACCCAGGAGCCTTCAACAACTTGCCCTGAAACTACTTCAGAGACAACTCACTCTAACCCTGAATCGACGGAGCCATCTCCACCGGCCAAACCCACTTTCCTCCCGAGAAAACTTAAGTTTCTCGTGCGGGGACTTAATGTAGACCACCGGACCGATGATCTTCGGAGAGATATTTACGAAAATGGTCGACAACCCTTCAAAATTGAGCAACTGAGAAAGAGGTGTGGTGACGGATACAAGCCCCTCCCCCTTTTTCTAGTGCTACTGAAAGATTCCCCAGAACATCTGGACTTAATTAACACAAAGTTTCTTCTATCTCATCCTGTCCAAATAGAGAGATTTCATGGAGGGCGTTACCCCATACAATGTTACAAATGTCAAAAATTTGGACACACTCAAAAATCATGTTCAAATGAGCCAGCATGCATGAAATGCGCAGGAGCGCATTTCACTTACCAATGTATGAAGCCTCTCTCCCTTCCTGCCAGGTGCATAAACATCCAAGGCGATTACCCTGCCTGTTTTACGGGCTGTGGTGCTAGGCCGAAAAGATACCAGCGCACCTTCACGAGGAAACCTCAAGATGCCCCCAGCAATGTAGCTAGATTCCTGAACATTCTCAAAGAACTCCAGGAACTGTTGAATGACGAGAAAATAGTCGCTCTACTCATCTCCTTGCTCCCAACCTAAAAGATGTAGATATGGAGCCCCACCATCATGCCTGCTACACCTCCCATGATTCCGTTCTTCATTTTTACCTCATTTCCGGTTCTATTCCGAGCCTACATCACATCTGTCCTATGTATGTTCCCGTCATGGGATATTTCAAGATGAATGGGAAAAGAGCCATTTAGGCCTCAGATGCCCAGTTCTACAACAACAGAGAACGAACGAACCATGATAAATTTCCTTACAGTTAATTGTTATTGTTGAGAATAGATTAACTCCTCACGAATATTATCTAATATTGAAATAGCTTTTCTACCAGTATTTTCTCTTTTCCGTCCCGCTTTTAGACGCAACGCCCGCCGTGCATTTACACACAAATTACATGCATTTTCTTGTTTCATGAGTTTAATGCATTTCCCCCTCCTTTCGTTTCTACACTTTTAACTTTATATAAGAATAGTAACGCCTACTTTCACCATTAGGGTCTGCTCAGGGGGGCGAACTGAATACCGTTCTACACGTCGAATTGAATTGATAGACGGCACATGATAATGATCTTTACGAGCGATTACGTCCGGCCGACGTTAACCCTTTCGCGCCGACTGTCACAAATACGTGCCAGCATAAAACCGTATCAACCGGGGTAAAAAGATAAAACTGGTAATCAAAGTAATTCTTTAGCAGTTTATATGTGGGCGGAGTTATAATTGTTTGAGTAATTTAATTCACCATTACTTTGTTCTAAATAAAACTATTTAGTTATACTTTGAACTAACATTGATTATATACATGTTTAAACTAACAATAATTAAAGTAAAAGCAAAGTAAGTCTGTCAAATTAGAAACGACTACATTTAAGTTACCGTTTTTTACTTAATTACATCCTGATTCTGATTTTGTACGAATGCTTTTCTGAATCACCCGTCCCCAAGGGGTTAATAGTCAAAAATGAAATCCCTACTCGTGGGAGGGAGTCGGTTTTAACCAAGTTTTTTTTCTTTATTTCTATTTAATAATTTATTATTAATTTTATTACAGTCGCAAGATATATAACTACATTATTTTCAAAAATACTTTTTTGGCTAATATTTCAAAAAATTTAATACACATATAAGAAATGGCTGTTTAATAGAATGCAGTAATTTATATTACTGATTTTTAGAAAGGCACTAATTTTAAAAAAAATTATATCAGTGCTGCTTAGATAAAAATTTTATAAGACCTGAATTTGAATGAATGTAAATACTGTGACTGTAGACTGTATTTTGTTTGGTTCTGTTACAAATGTAGCATTTAATTAATGATCATTCCTATGCAATTGTTTAGTCAGAATTAAAGCCTTTATTTGTGCGATCGTCATAACGCAGTTATTTAACTGCAGATTAAGGTCTTAAAATTGTGAATTTTTGCGAAATGCTACTTTTTAATGCATAGCAAAGCATTTTGATTCAATAAACTCAATGATCAATTAAAATTAATTTTTTTTTAAATTAGCTACTAAATAAGAATATTTTTTTAAGAAACTAGTGAAAGAATATTGTCTTTTTTAACAAATATTAATTTAAAAACCCAAAAAAAAAAATTTCTTCTTTTTTTTCAGAAAATTTGACTTTTTGAAATTTTTGGATATAGAGGGCCAGCGTAAATGTCAACTTTAAATTATTTAATATAGGACAAAATATAAAGATTTCCATGATTTGAGCATCGTTTGCTGACCAGAGAAAGCTGTTACACCAGTTTAGAGAGGTGAATTTTTTTCCGTTTGGGTCGAAAAGTCTCCGACTCTGAATGTTTTTGATATAATTTTGCAAAAATGAGTGCAGTTATCGCTTCTCGGCCTTTTGGCTAAGATCAAAGTGTAGTATCTGTTCTTCCAGCGCACCTTCACGAGGANCCTGGGACACACTCAACAACCCTGTCCTTCAGCTATTTGCCTCCAGAAGATACATTAAGAAGATGGCAAAGTTATGCGTCAGCGACACCATCAGAACCTCCAGAAACATCTACGTGGAACATCTCACAGGGAAGCCCCAACAGTAAGTACATCTCTACTAGTCCTTCTATTACCATCTTTTCTCGCTGCCTTACTGTTATTGTTATTATATATTTTTGTATGCCCTGCCCTCCCCGTAATTGTGGGGTTGTAGTACTGTAATTTTAGTGTATGATATGTGCTGCTAGGATAAATAAAGGCTACGCCCCGCGTTGATTTTTGGGTACCCCAGTAAACGTGTTAGTTTTTTATAGATATTTAAACTTCCTATCTTTCATTCCCCCTGCTACAATTGTATACACACCATTCAGTGATAATTCAAATGGATCTGGATGGTCTGATTATCCATGATAATATAGGTTCCTGTGCAATTGTACCAGTTCCCCTTAAATTGTATTTTTGCTATCCTATCAATAGTAGTTATTGACTCTGTCAATGTCTTCTATTTGTTAATTGATCACACCATAAGATTAGCTTATGTTTTAACGTCTGCCTAACCTATCCTAACCTTAACGTAAATTTAGCTATTTTCTTTGCTGTTATTTTTTAGTACCTCGCCTATGATTAGGAAACTCCTATGAGGCACCTCCCCCACCCAAAAATCTGTTCTTATCAGCTTAATCTGTGAATGCTGCAATAGGTTTTGGTTGGAGGTTATATTGATTTGGACGGTTACCCCCTTATTCCAATTTTCTTCGATGAGAAGACACGGATTGGATGCGTATTGAACTGCAATTCCATTTTCGTTATTTTCTATGAGGAAACGCGGAACTGGTACGTATTGCACAACACGTACCAGCTAGGGCTTCCCCCCTCTTTTGGGCGCTGTTTCGGCAGTCTGCCTCTCCCCTGTTCCGTCCAGCAAAAACTGTGGAGCACAGTGGCGCTAGGAAACTTTTCATCCTTTTTTATGTTTTTTTTCCGATTTTTTTTCGGCATGATCCAGTAAGGAGCAAGAGTAAAGGGCGCCCGCAAGTAAGTCGACCCTTCGTTCCGCCAAAGCTGCTTGCCACAAAACTGTTTCCTAAACTCTCTCTGATCTCTCTCCCTGCTCCCATGGCAGCTTAGTAGTTCCTCTACTAAGTATGGGGGAGATCCCTCTCTTAAATCATTGTGCTGAGCTCGTTTTCCGACTGGAAGTGGGTAAACCCCTTGGATGGTCTCGCAGCCATGCTGGATTCGCTGCTGGCAGAGTATCCCTCTGCTCAGGAGCGAAGACTTCGGCTGGGAGCACAAGGCCCCACAAACAGGTCTGGTCGGACGGTAGGACTTTACTTAATTCCCCAGTTTATTAATGTTTAACTTTTAATACTTACCATCGTCCTCAGTTGGTTTAATGTTAACTTAGGTTTTGTTTGGTTACCACTATTACTATTAATTCTTTATTCCCCAATTTTGGTCTTTATCATTTTTATTCCCCATTTCATTAGTGTCCAACTTATTTATATACCACTATCACTTGGGTTAATTATGTTTTTGACTTCTGCTGTTTACTACCTGATTAATCTTATTTTTTCTCCAATATTGTTGCTATGATCATTTTATTGCTTCCTTAACTAATTATTAATGTTATCACCCTTTCCTGTTATTTTTATGCTGCTACTTAATTTTTAATATTTAACTTCATCTGCTGAATTAACTCAAATATCTTCCGCAGGGAGTTGGGAGGATGAGACAGCCTCGTGTTGTCTCCTTCCTGGAGAGTTAAGACAGCCCTCTTCAATTTGATTTTTTTTTTATTTTATTAAATTAAATTTATTTAAATTTCCTCCGCTGATTAAATTCAAATATCTTCCTCTGGGAGTTGGAAGGATGAGATGGCCTCGTGTTATCTCCTTCCTGAAGAATTGAATCAGCCCTTCTTAATATTTTGTTTTTTATTTATTTTTATTTATTTATTTAACTTAAATTATTTTTACTTAAACTTCCTTCGCTGATTAAATTCAAATATCTTCCTTTGGGAGTTGGAAGGATGAGATGGCCTCGTGTTATCTCCTTCCTGAAGAACTATGTCAGCCCTCCTCATACTTAGGTTCTTCTTTCCTTTCGGTTAATTATTATTTCTGTTTGTTTGATATATCTTGCCTATTATGTTTTTACTTCTCTCTCAAGGGTTGTTTCTCCAATTTGTTTGATTCACTCACTAACTTAATTTTTATTTCAGCTTGGGTTGCACTAATCTTAATTCTGTTTCAGCTTCAACAGGTTACTTGTCTACTATGTGATCCAATTACTCCCCTATCTATTAGGTTACTTTTTTTTCTGAGTTGTAATTTTGCTTTTTAATTTTTTAGTGAACACCTCTGAACCCCTCCGCGAATGAGTTGACAGGATCAACACGAATTCCACATAATTTGTGATTGTCTGGAAGAGGTGAGCCAGTTTTTGCCAGAGGTGACAAAGGGGGTGTATTGGGCTCACTTAGATAAACAGAGACGTTCGTTCTCAATCCTTCTAGTGGGTTGTTTCCAATACATCTCTTGAGGTCACCCCCGTTTTTAATTCCTTTTTTATGTTTTAATCTTTTTGTATACCAGCCACCAATTCCTCGTGAACGTGGTTGCATTAATCTCTTAAGAGATTAGGAGATTATGCTATAGGTACCGATTTTTCGATGGAACCAGCCATTAGTACTTCGGGAATTTGGAAGACATGACTTGCCCAGTCTTTTCTGGTTCCATATTTCTTTTTGTTAGGGACTTTCCAACCCATTTTTTTTTATTTTTTTATTTTATTTTATTTATTTATTTTTTTATTTTATTTAAATCAAACCAACAAGTATTTAGTTTTCTACTATTATTTGGTTTTCTCTTCAGCACTACTTACACCAATTATCCCTCCTACTGTCCTATTGCCACACTCTGATGAGGGTATCTCCCCCTGCTTATTATTTCGTTCTCATACATTCTTTTGGTCACTGTTATTTTCAATTTGTTTCCACTGTGATACTGCACGATCATGGACAACAACAGTGTTCTTAACTAACTATTAATGTTNTTTTTTTTTTTTTTTTTTTTTTTTTATTTGGATCACATCACCTTCTTGTTGGTTTTGATTACCCCTTTTCGAGCTTCTAACTTAACTTTTTAATGTTTTAGTGAACACCTCTGAATCCCTCCGCGTATGAGTTGACAGGATCAACACGAATTCCACATAATTTGTGCCTGTCTGGAAGAGGTGAGCCAGTTTTTGCCAGAGGTGACAAAGGGGGTGTATTGGGCTCACTTAGATAAACAGAGACGTTCGTTCTCAATCCTTCTAGTGGGTTGTTTCCAATACATCTCTTGAGGTCACCCCCGTTTTTAATTCCTTTTTTATGTTTTAATCTTTTTGTATACCAGCCACCAATTCCTCGTGAACGTGGTTGCATTAATCTCCTAAGAGATTAGGAGACTATGCTATAGGTACCGATTTTTCGATGGAACCAGCCAATAGTACTTCGGGAATTTGGAAGACATGGTTCGCCCAGTCTTTTCTGGTTCCATATTTCTTTTTGTTAGGGACTCTCCAATCCAATTTTTTTTTTTTTTTTTTTTAACTTAATCATATACCAACTAGTGTTTAATTACCAGCTATTTTCTTGTTAACCATGTACCCCTACTACTGTCCTATTGCCACACTCTGATGAGGGTATCTCCCCCTGCTTATTATTTCGTTCTCATACTTTCTTTTGGTCACTGTTATTTTCAACTTGTTTCCACTGTGATACTGCACGATCATGGACAACAACAGTGTTATGGTTACCATTAAGGAGCTGCTTGCTCATCGACCGAATGCAAACAAGGGCATCCTCTTCTGCTGCACTTTTTGCGAGCACCGATGCGACTCGCACAGACTCATTTCACTGCACTTGTATAATCATCACCTTGAGGCCGTGGTCGACCTGTGTAGGCAGCACAAGTTTGCTCCCCCACTGTGCCATGCTGCGAGCTTCGTCGCACCTTCTTTTTGCTTCAGTAAGCGAAAGAAAATTCCCAAACCCACAGTGCCCAGGTCCCCTGATCTTACAGACTGTGCTAGCTCTTCATCTGTTCTGACATCGGTTACCTTTGAGGGTAGTGATTCCGACCCCTGCGTGGCTGACGTCCTCTCTGTGCACGGCAGCCCCACTTATTCGGCTGTTTTTTCTTCTGACGACTGCCTCAGTCCCACTATGAGTCCCACTGCTCCGACCAATCCTGGACCGCTGACCTTTTCTGGCTGCTTGTCTAATTCAGCCATCTCTACCTCCCCCTTTAGGGCAAGCTGCCCTCCACCCGCAATGGTACAGCATTCACCGGCGGACGACCCCATAAGCATGGATGTACCTGCCAACGACAGCGCCCCCTACTTATTCATGGTAGACGATCCCCCTAACTTTATAGAGGATATACCTACCAGTGATGCTGTGACTACTGCAAGCTGCCATCACTGCACGAGGCTGTTCAAAAATCATGGCTCCCTCGCTAACCACCTGCTCGAGGTTGGAATCAACGGCACTGCATTTGATGATGTGCTACCAACGCACAAGCTCGTACGATGTCTGTCGCCTCCAGCCCTGGTTAAGCCTAGTGGTTCTGTCTCCACCTCCTCGTGTCCATCTCCTCCAACACTTAGGCCCTTCAAGGGTGGTCAACCCAAGCTCATCGACTTGGATGTCGACTTTCCACCATTGCCACCAGCCGCTGTTAAGAGGTTCGGATGTCAGCAATGCGGGGTCAGTTTCCTCTCTCTCAGGGACCTCGAGACTCACCTGGATGTTACTCACATCTATCCAATCTTGCCAACATCCAACTCCCCACCTACTCTGGATCGTAGGGCTGACCAGTGCCTCAACAAACCATCCACGAGTGGCCTTAACACCGACCGCCACTCAGGGGACGACTTCCTGTTTCCAGGTGAACAACGCAGGATCCACATGGCTAGACCGCTGCTGTTTAACAGCAAGG